GGCACTACAGAGTCTGGTGTTCCAGAAGGCGCTGAGGCTCCAAAATGCCTCTGTACGAGAAGCTGACGCTCTCTACGCAGCTGAAGTGACGCAACTATTGCAGGGCGCTGCGTGTCTGCACGAATTGTGTGCGGCACCTTTAATGTTGGCGTTAATTTTGGCTCTGATCGAGAAGTTCATTGGCCTCGCAGCTTGTGGAGCTGTTGTGGGTGCAGTAGTCATGACGCTGGTGGTCTCACAGGTGCTACATCAACTGCAAATCTGCTCACTGGAGCGACTTCGACGAACTCGAAAGGACCGACAGACCTCTGCAAAGGAAATGGTACACGCCATGCCTGCAGTCAAGTTACACGCGTGGGAACCTGCAGCTAGAGCGCGTGTAAGTGCTACGCGTGGACGTGAGCTGGAAGCTTTGTGGCAATTTCAAGTACGAGGTGCCGCCGGGACTGCTTTCGCCTTCGCTTCGCCAGTATTAATGGCCACAGCAGCCTTAGCCGTAGGCTACCACTCGTCCACACATTTTCTAACACCAGCAGCAGCTTTTGCCACTCTAGCACTTATGCGTCTCATGCAGACGCCACTTCGAAGTCTTCCGGAGGCGGTACAAGGAGCTCAATGTGCGTGGCAATCCCTGCACAATCTGTCGCATTTTATGGATCAGGAAGAACTCGACCCGTACGCTGTAGCTGGACGTGATAGTCAAGGGATGGTAGCTAAATACGACCCTCAAGATGTCATCATCGCTGTTGAAGATGCCACGTTGGGTTGGGCTACGAATGGTCCAGTGATTTTTCAGCATCTGGATGCCACTGTGGGTGCTGGCGAGCTGCTAGTGGTTCATGGACGCCCTGGTAGTGGCAAGTCTTCGTTTCTTTCGGCTCTTTTGGGAGAAATGCAAGCGTGTGATGGAAGTAACGGTGCTAGTGGTCGCGTGTATGTAGGTGGCTCTATAGCTTACTGTCCCCAGCAGTCGTGGCTGCAGCAGACGCTCTCTGTGCGTGATAATGTGCTGTTCGGCCTTCCATTTGACCGTCGCAAGTACCAGCGCGTGCTTGACGCCTGTGCTCTCGTTAATCCACTAGCAATGCTGCCAACTGGTGATCACACGTCTGTCAAAGACTGGAAACCAACTCTGGGGCAGCAAGCGCTTGTTAGTCTGGCACGTGCCTGCTATAGTGACGCGGATGTATATCTGCTAGACGACCCACTTGCTCGCGTCCACCCGAGATCTGTAGCGCGCGATATTTTCTCATGTTGTTTAGTGGGACTTTTACGCAACAAGACGCGAGTTGTCGTCACCACGCGTGCAGAGTTCATTTGCTCCGAGTTTGTTGACGATGCCATTCGCTTCGAAGACGGAGGTCGACTTGTGCATACAAGGGATATATATGAAGGCAAGGGACGGAAGGAGCAAGGAGGAGACGAGGACAGCGATGGAGAAAAGGAAAAAGTTGCGACGGATAGCTGGGTCCACTACTCGGCTTCGGGTGTTGATATTGTAAGGACTGATGAGCCGCCGTATTATCTGACAGAGGCGCCAGCAGACATCGAGCTGTTGGCTATGGAAAATTTCGTCAACGCAAGTCGCAACCTGTTGAATGAACGACCTTTGCGCGAGTTTCTTTCGTGTGAAACAGCAGCAGAAGCAGAGTGGAGAGAGGGGGAATGGCTGCACAAGTGTGTCCGTGCCTACACGCAAGCTATCGGCGGGCTTCGAGTCGCTCTGCTGATCTTCATTCTGCTCTTCATGTGGCAAGCTTTGCAGCTGGCGAGTGAGCTGTGGGTCGCGTACTGGGTGCGTTCAAGCAGTTTGAAGAACTTGGTGGCGGATCAGCTCATTTACGCTTCGTTGGCATTGGGAGCTGGTCTTCTGGCGCTTGGATATTCACTCAGTGTCGCTGTGGCGGCTGTTCAAGGAGCGCGTCGAGGTTTCTTGTCGCTAGCGTCTGCTTTCCTGCACGCTCCTTTGGCTTTCTTTGATGCATATGGCGCTGGAAGCGGTCGATCCCTTTCAAAGCGTCTCAGTCTTTCCAGAAGACGTGAACTCGAGCGAGCATATATGGATAAGGACCTCACTGCCTTGGATGCAAGACTTCCTCTCGCGGTTGGTGCTGTGCTGGCTCATGGGGCTTCGACTTTGACAGCACTACTGACTGCTGCGGTGGTGACACGGTACTATGCTGTACTTCTAGTTCCGGTGGTGTACATGTATGTGCAAACTGTGAGAATGTATCTGCGACCGGCTCGTGATCTGCTTCACTTGGAGCGTAGAGCACGTCATGCGGCACGTAGCCATGCAGCTGAGACGCTGGCAGGGGCGCGAGTTGCTCGGGCCTTTGGACTAGCGCATGTGCATCGCGTTCTGGGTCACCACTTCTGGTTGTTGGATGTTGCTGCCCGTGATGCTCATCTTGGTCTGCATATCGATCAGTGGCTTGCGTTACGCGTTCAGTTGTATGGTTTGGGGATCGTGGGAATTGTGGCAGCTTCATCGTTCTTGGCGTTGCGATACACACTGAGTGCTAGTGTTTCGGCTTTAGCGCTGTACGAAGTGCTGGTGGTCGATAGTGGTGCGTTGGAGTCGCTGGTGCGTGTGTGGGCTTGGTTGAGCCCTGTATTGCCCATTGCTGCTCGAACTCAGGCTGCTGTGCGAGGAGCGGTAGTAATCACGGAGAGTGCGGCATACTCTACTGCTGCCGCGAGACGCGCCTCGGCTCCGCTTACGCCTAACGAAGTCAACCCATCGCTCTCGTGGCCTACCAAGGGAGATTTACGCTTTGATACCGTGAGTTTTCGTGATCCTGCTGCTGCTATCCTTGACGAGCTTACCAACATGTTTGAGATCGGCGATGGTGGTGCCCCACCCTTAGCTCTTAAAGGCGTGTCGTTTCGTCTCCAGGCTGGGGAGAAAGTGGCGATTCTCGAGTCGTCTACAGCCTCTTCAGTGTCTTCGGTCGGCCGTGCGTTGCTGCGCATGCATGAATTAACAGCCGGACGAATTGTGGTGGATGGCGTGGATATATCCACTCTAGGACTGCGAACTCTTCGCTCGCGTGTAGCCTGTGTGTCTGCAGCCGCGCCCAACGCTGCGTTATATGACGGTTCAGTCCGTTCGCAGCTTGATGCAAGTGGCGAAGATATTGAAGACGAGCGACTGTGGACTGCGTTGCGTATTGTGGGGCTTGCAGGAAGTGTAGCTTCGCTGGATGGTCCCTTCCCGGGTGCTTCTAGTCTTCAGCAGAACCCAACAAAGAGATTTTTCCTTAGTCTTGCCCGTGCGCTGCTGAGTGAGCCATCAGTAGTGGCGCTAGCGTTCGCATCTGTGCTAGTTCCACCCTTAGGAGACGAGTCGCAATCGCCACAATTTGTTTTGGATGACGCTACGCTAGAGATTTTACAGCGCGTGGTGCATGAAGAGCTACGGGACGCAACTGTGCTGCTGCTACTACCGTCCGCTACAGTGTCACCGCAGCGTGACCAAGCACAGAGAGCGATGCTGTTGAATGCTGTAGACCGTGTGCTTGTCGTGGTTGATGGTGAAATGGCGGAGCTAAGGACACCGGCAGACCTGGCTCAGGCTGAACAAGGCCCTGATCTACTGGCTGAGGTTCCCGGTAGATCGGAGCTGTCCGATCTAGAACATCGTAGTGAGGATGGGGAGTTGGTGATGGACACGACTGTAGTCGAGTTTGATACGGATAGAGCTGTCGAGACAGAGAAACAAAGTTGCAAGTAAATATTGTGAATAGGATTATATCGAAGTACGTCGAAGTACGTGTATTAATACTGCAGTACTTCAAGAAGGGGTGAGACCTTTGAACTCGGTACTTCGAAGTACTATGGGGAATCGCGTGGCTAGGAAGAAAGACCAGCAGAGTGCATCCGCAGCACGCTGTCAAGATATTGTCGTCCTGGCACCTACGCCTATCTCCGGAGCTCCATTGGACCTCCAATTGGGTGATCTATCTGCACGAAAACACGAGGGCGAAGCAGAGAAAAACGAAGCTGAAGTGCCGCTGTCATCTAGTCAAGCACCACCGACAGCACGCGACGGTGATGACAACAAGGAACCTCTGGAGTTTGTCCGGCAGAGCTACGAGGTAGAGGAGGGCCCGTTCACTTTGTATACGCAAGCACTTCTGCTGAAGGATCAGCGAGTGTTTGCCAAAGCCAGGTACGCATAACTTCGCTGGTAAACGGAACATCAAGAGTACCGAGAGCTCAGGCTTTAAACACCGAAAACTTGCTTTGTTTGCTTAGTGATCTTCTGCGATCTCTGCTGCCGACTGCAAGTTTGACTCTGGAAGCGAGATATCACCTTGCACAGTGCCTCATTGCTCAGGATCCAGCGTTGGAGTGGTGCTGTGAAGAAGCCCAACAGTGCCTGGAGGATGTAGTGACTGCGATGAAATCCTCCTCTAATAGTGCAGATGCTCACCACGCCATTATGTATCGTGAAAGTCTGGTAAGTTCCAACGTGACTACAATAATGGACCCTCATTGTGTGCGTTTTGCCTTTAGGAGCTGCTGGCTCACATTACTATAGCTGGGAAGTGCGTCGATCGCACTCTGCAGCTACTTAAAGCGCTGGTGCTGCATTTCAACTTTCAATTCGCTTTTTAAGAGGCTCGAAAGCCAATTTATTTTCTTTATGCACTTCCACTGCAGCTTGAGCTGAATAGCGCAGCAAATTCTCCATCTGACCTACCAGCTCATCGACAGCAGCAGACGCTAGTGAGTTTCCAACCCGCATTCTGTCGCTACACACGTGGAGATGTGCCCGACACCATCTCGTCTGAGCTACTCTGCTTCCTGCCACCAAAATGCGACCAGAAGCAACAGTCATCTCAAGAACAAGGAAGTCAAGACATTCGACTCTCTTGCCCACTCGAAGGTATCGAGCTTTTGCTGCGCGCCGACGCTTTGAGTCTCCGCGAGGGTTTAACTTTGCCCGCTGCCAGTTCAACTTCACAAATGTAGCAACTATTTCTGAAATGTATACACCTTGCCTGGCCAATGTTGGCCTCATTGACGACACTTTTATTTCGGAACCAGAATTACAATCATGGTAATGTTCAGGATTGAATCATGTATGCATCCAGGATTATGTAATTTAAAATTCCAACCCTTCTAATTCCGACTTTTCTTATTTCCGAACGAGGGAGAAATGGATTCTCATTTTGGTTTCGAGGTCGAGGATGGAACGTGTCTCAAGCGGCGGAGGCGACAGCACCGGAAGCGACCGCGCCTGCAGCAGCAGCGGTGGGACGAGCGCAGGAGGATCAACGCGTGTATCGGGTGCGTCTGGTGGTAGGCGAGTGTCTTCGTTCCCGCGTTGTGACGGGGTCACACAGCACCTTGCGCTAGAGGAAGTTATCTTCCGAGAGTATACAAACGCTCAGTGAACGGCAGTTCACAGGTCCCCTCTTTATTTAAAGAGAGGTAAGTGACCTATATAAGGTAGATTGTAAACTGAGTATATTTATAGGTAGGTTATGTAACGGGGTTACATGGTGTGGAACACACAGGGGTACGAAGTACCCGGAGAGTTAGCAAACTCTCAGTACATAAGTTGGAGAGTTAACAAGGTCTCTCAGTACGTTGGCTGAAAGCCACACGTTATGCATTTGATTAGGTTTAACTATGCTAGATAGTTAAAGAGATACATTTACCCCTAGGCGGCTTGGCCGCAATAATAGTAAATAAAAGACTTCTGGTTTTGAAGCATAAAAGTTAAGGTGTTAACTTTGAGCCCTGGTCTTGGGCTGTAAGTGTCCTTTGGATAAGGAACTTAGTATTAGTGACTCTTTGAGTCGAACGTCTTCCTCTGACGCTAAAGCTACGGCAGCCCCGCTGCACTTGGTAGCACTTGTAGTCAATCCCGCTCCTGAGTCGGTTGACTATATCCTCTGCGAGGATGGAACACCCCGTGTTCGCGAATTTGCCCCCGGCGCAGCAGGACGCGCTTAATAAGCTTATGTCCTTGCTTAGCCCGGAGGGCGTGGCTCATCTTGCATCGCAAGGTCCAGAGGCGGTCACTGCCAGGCTGGAATCGTTCTCCCGCTACGAGAACGCGCTCTTGGAGCATGTCCAAGAGAAGATGAGCGCCGCAACGGCGGCGGCGTCGATGACGCGTGAAGAGTCTATGCGACTGAAACCGCTCATGGTGAGCGTAAAAACCTTCGAGGGGAAGGATGGAGAGAATCTCCTTCTCTGGACCCGTGAGGTCGAGATGGCCATGGGATCGGCCCTGCTCCAGTCTGAGCATCAGCGCGTGGCGCTGGCTATCTCCAGGCTTGGAGGTCACGCTCGCGAATGAGCACTAATGTGCGGCACGTCTGTTGACGCTGCATTTCCCACTTGGGATCAGCTGAAGCAACAGCTTTCGCGCGTGTTCGCGCCGCCTAATCAGGCGTACCGTATCCGGTCAAAGTTCCTTGCTACCCGCCAGGGTAAGAAGGAGTTATTAGACTATGTCCAAGAGTTGAGAACTCTTATCGCCGGAATGGCGGCGGACCCTCTTCCAGAACTGGTCAGCGTGACCGTGTTCATGGAGGGACTTCGTGTGAGCGCAGCTCGAACGGAAGTGTTCCGTGTACACCCTAACTCTTTCGAAGAGGCGGTGAATGTGGCATTAAATGCCGAGCACAAGGTCGGCTCGACCTGGTTGGAGCGCTAGTAGCGCAAGCTCTTCGAGCGGTCCAGAGCCGATGGACCTCAGCTATGCTGAAGATGAAGAAGCGGAGCTTCTTGCTGCGGAGCAGCGTGCCGGCATCCGCCGATGCTTTGTGTGCAATAGCACTAAGCACTTGAGGGCATATTGCCCTCTGCGCAAGAAGCGCGTGGCTCCGGCGAGCCAACCCTCCGGGTCATCGCCGGGAAACGGCATTTCCCAGTAGGCGCGGGGCGGCCTACTGGGGAAGAACTGAGCTCTGTTGTACCTCGAGGAGGTAGAGGGCAACGGGGCTCAGCCCCGAAGAGAGTTGAGCTCTCTTACGAGAAGAGTGTGTGCAAGCCGGGCTTGCTGGTCGTTCAAGCGAACATGAAGGGCTTTGCAAAGCCATGGAGAGTCTTGATTGACTCGGGCAACTACGCCCGTCGCTCCACCCTAGAAGGGAGTCAGCTGTATGCTGAGGCACTGGAAGTGCCAACGAGAGATACGATCTCTGTCCGTCTCGCGACGGGGACACTGGTAACTGTGTCGAAGGTCTCTGTCGACCTTGGAGTGAAGTTTGAGAACTTCGATAGCGTGGAACGCTGTTTGGTCTTAGACCTGGATGCGAGGTATGACCTCATCCTTGGCATGGCATGGCTGGAACGTCATGAGCCATGGATCGACTGGAAGTCGAAAACGCTGGGTGCGTCGCACCCTGCTCCTAGTGGAGCTTTGATGAGTCATGAACCCACCTCTGCTAGGAAGTAGAAGCGCTTTTGGCGCGAGCACGAGGCCGAGGCGGCCGTAGTGCTGGACATTGGTATGTCCGAAATTGTTAGCAACGAGGTTGCTGTTTTCCCTGAGGGCGTACGTGGTGCGGCACATTATCCGCTGAGCGGTGCAGGTCAGGTCAATGACCAGCTGCTGGGTCCTGGTGAGGACGAGCGCGGAGTGGCGCGTAATCCACTGAGTGGTATGAATCTGGTCGATGACCTACCGCTGCGTGACCCGAGGGTCGCGGTCGACTGCGAGTCGAGGCATCATGGGCGTGGCCCAGGAGATGCAGGTGAAGTGACACCTAGTTCACTGTGTGAAGGTCAAGAACCTCTTGGCTTTCAGCCGAGTGTCTTGGGAGACACTGTATCCTCTTCGAGGAGTGATGGTGCTGCTGCACCCGGTGGTGGTGACGGAGATGTCGCCACACCGCCCTCATCCGGCCGGGCTCGGTCGCGGAGGGAGAGGAGAAGAAGACGCAGGGCGTCTGTGGCGTCTTCGACGTCGAACGATGTGTCCAACGTGACGAGCGGTGATGCTCCACGTGATTGCTGTGAACAGCTGTATACACTCGTGAACGGAGTGACGGGGGAGGTAGAAGGCGATATCAGCCTTGATACTCTGCCCGCTGCAGATGCACTGCTAGAGCTGGACGAGATGTCCATTGCCGAGTTTGGCGAAGCCTTAAAGGCAGGCGAGCTAGCCGAGGTGGTCTTGCTGGGACCTGAGGAGGAGTTGAACTCCTTATCCGTCGTGGACGACGCGGTCCTAGAGGACACCAAGAAGGCGATGAGCGCAAGAAGTGGATCGGCGATCCTCAAAGATCCTTCGGATCCCTTCTACCCGGTGGTGAAGGAGTATGGAGACGCTGTCTCAAAAGACCCACCGACGGGCCTGCCTCCGGATCGAGGCGTGTGTCATGAGATTGACCTGGTTCCTGGAACCAAATACTGCGTAACAAGGCAATGGCCTTTGCCGAGAGAGCAGTGTGACGTCATTGACGCATTCTTCCGTGCGAAGCACGAGGCAGGGATGGTGCGTGAGAGTAAGTCTCCGCACTCGACACCCACGTTCTGTGTCAGAAAGCCGAACGGCAAGTGGCGCATTGTTCATGCTTTTAACAAGCTAAATGCGGCCACTATCCCGGCGCAAACGCCGATTCCTCGCAAAGGATGTCCTGCAGAACAACATGGTAGGCTGTACGCTGTACAGCGCGCTCGACTTGGTCGATGGCTACTACCAATTGCTCATGAGAGCGAGCGACATTCCGCTGACAGCGGTGAGTACTCCGAGCGGTATGCTCTGGGAGTGGCTGGTGATGCCCCAGGGGCTGTCGAACGCACCAGCAACGTTCAATCGTCTTGTGACGCAGATGTTTAGGCCCCACCGGGCGTACGCACAAACGTACTTTGACGATATATTCGTCCATAGTCGTGCTGAGCACGGAAAGTCAGACGTGGAAAACCACATTGACCACTTGCGAGCGGTGCTCGAGTGCATGCGCACTAATAAGTTGTATGCCAACTTGGACAAGTGCGTCTTTGGCGCGGAGGAGATACCTTTCCTCGGGTGCTTCATTGGGAAGCGTGGCTTACGGGCAGATCCTGCCAAAGTCAAGGCCATCGTGGACTGGCCGGTTCCCAAGAACCAAAAAGACTTACGCAAGTGGCTAGGCTTAGCCAATTACTTGCACAAGTACAGTGCGAACTACGCGGAGATGGCTCGGCCATTATCAGATCTCCTTAAGAAGGACGCACCATGGTGCTGGAACGTCGAGCACGACGGAGCCTTTGAGGCTGTGAAGGAGAGCCTTCTTCAGGCTCCGATCCTTGCGCTACCGGACCCGGATAGTCCGTTTAGCGTCGTCTGTGACGCCTCCGATTTTGCAATCGGTTGTGTTTTACTACAAGCAGACGCCGAAGGGCGTGGACGCGTGATCGCGTTTGAGTCTCGCCAGCTCAAAGCTGCAGAGAAGAACTATCCAGTTCATGGCAAAGAGCTACTTGCAATGAAGTATGCTCGAGTCAAATTCAGGGTACACCTGCTAGGCTCTAAGCCTTTTGTGATCTTTACTGATCATGCGTCGTTACGCACTGCGACACAGTCGCCTCATCTCTCTCACAGAATGGCAAGATGGCTTTCCTTCGTTGCCGAGTATAACTTCGAGGTGAAGTACAAGCCGGGGCGGCTTAATGTAGTGGCCGATGCGCTCTCGCGCAGGCCGGACTACGAGTTAGCTCATGTCACGACAGTGACGTCGTCAGTGCCTGGCTTGATACGCGGAGCGTATGCACAAGACGACATGTGCGTAGCGCTGCTACGGGCTCTTGGGAGCGAAGAGTTTAAAGACTCTGACAAGGAATTGTCTGGGCGCTTACGCGCGAGGCTGCATCGATACTCGCTCGATGGCGGCCTGCTGTACTACAGCACCGACTCTGAGGATAACCCTCGTGTAGTCGTTCCTCATGATGAGGATCTAAAGTATCGAATCCTCTATGAGGTTCATGATACGCCCGTGGGCGGGCACTTAGGTCGGAAGAAGACCTATGGC